CACACACCTGGGAGGTACCTGTGTATCTGTGGGGTTTGCACACCTGTGTACACTGCTGACCCCTGTGGATTCACACACCTGGGAGGTACCCGTGTGTCTGTGGGGCTTGCACACCTGTGTGGACTGCTGACCCCTGTGGATTCACACACCTGGGAGGTACCTGTGTGTCTGTGGGGCTTGCACACCTGTGTGGATGACGACCCCCTGAGAAGCAGAAGCAGCACTCTGAGAGCGTCCCCCACTCACCGTCACCCTCCCCAAGGGCAGGTGCCACTGTCCCCCTTGCAGATCAGGACTGGCCCCAAGTCTGTGTCTCGCCTCAGGCACCCTCCTGTGGAGCCTGCCTCAGGCCCAGAGTCCTACCCAGGGCTCAGGGGCACTCGCGGCTCTCACACTGGCACTGCCGTGAGGAGAGGCCAGTGCTCTCCGCTCCTGCAGTCCTGGTAGCCCTGCAGGCAGGCTCGGCAGCCTCCAGTCCCATCTGGAGGCCCTGTGGTGGCCCCTGTGGGGAGGGGGTGCAGAGAGGTGGTCCACGCAGGCCCAGCAGGACTGGTCCGGTGCTGAGACGTGCTCTGTGCCCTGATGGTGCCTCCTGGTGGGAGCCCCATGGGTGGGGTGGCGCCATTTCCTGGAGATGCAGCAGTCGGGCCACCCTGCTGTCCTCTGTCCTCCCAGGAGACCCTGTTGGCTGTGTGGCTCTGCACAGAGAGGGCAGCTACGTGGTGGCCTCTGGCACCTACCTTGGCCTCCTGGACTGGGCGATGGGGCAGGTGGAGTGGGCGGCCTGGCTGGACAGGGACAAGCCCCACAACAGGTTCAACGATGGGAAGGTGGATACCAATGGGAGGTTTGTGGCAGGTGGGCTGCTGAAAGGACTGGCTGTGGCCCGGTTAGCTGAAGGTGGCCCTGGACACCTGGAGAGCCTCCTGTCATGGTGGGTGCCGGCTTGGTGGGGACCTCAGGAGCCCTCCCCAGGCTGCTGGCAAACGGCCCCTGAGGCCATGCAGGTGCTGGGAAGCCCACAGGTTCCCTCCTGCTCCAAAGCCCTTGGCTTCCAGGTCATTCTTCCTGGGTCCCTGCCCAGAGAGGACCTTTGGAGGGTTGAAGCCGCCAGGGTGGGGCAGCGGCCAGGGCCGCTGGCCAGGGGCCATTCACGTGCAGCTGAGGGCCCAGCACCTCTGCCTGAGCAGGCCTCTTCCCAGTGGAACATCTCTGGGGTCCCCCCTTCGCCCAGCACAGAGGCTCACTCACAGATGCCGCCTGAGGGCCATCCTGCCTGCTGACCCCGACTGAGGGTGACCACAGCTCTCTGCACAGCGGGTCTGTGTGGGGTGGGTAGGGCAGGGTGCTGCCCACTGACCTTCCACTCTCTCCAGGCACCATGCCAGAGGCGTCCGCCCCAGGAATGTGGGAGCCGGGGCAGGGCTCCCTGTACACACTCTTCGCTGACCGCTCGGTGGTCAGACAGCTGGACCAGCTGGGTATCCACAACGGGCTGGACTGGTCCCTGGACCACCGCACTCTCTACCACGTGGACAGCCTGGACTACTCTGTGCGGGCCTATGACTACGACGTGCAGACAGGAGGCCTGGGTAGCGGCCGCCACTGCTAGCCCCCCCCACGCCCTCCCCAGGGGAAGGTCTCCGTGGCCAGGCCCCCACACCCTCCCTGGGGTAGGAGCCTCCGTGGACAGCCCCCTATGCCCTACCTGGGCAAGGCCACCGTTACCAGCCCCCCACACCCTCCCTGGTATAGGAGCCTCCGTGGTAAGCCCCCACACCTCCCTGGGCGGGGCCACCGTTACCAGCCCCCCCACACCCTCCCTGGTATAGGAACCTCCGTGGTCAGCCCCCACACCCTCCCTGGGCGGGGCTTCCGTGGCCAGCCCCCTATGCCCTACCTGGGCGGGGCCTCCGTGGCCAGCCCCGCACGCCCTCCCTCAGGTATGGTCCTCTGT